GTGCAGCGACGTTCCCCATCCAACCTGTCACACCCTGATCTGTTTCACCTGTCTTTGTGCTTGTCTCCAACCCTCTCCAGGTGTCGCCCATCTTCCCCATTATCCCCAAGGTATTTATACCTGTGTTCTCTGTTTGTCTGTTGCCAGTTCGTCTAGTATCGTCAAGCCTACCAGCGTTTTTCCCATACTCCTGTTTTTCTCTAGTTCCTGTTTTCTAGTTTTCCCGGTTTTGACCATTCTGCCTGCCCTGACCCTGAGCCTGCCTGCCGTTCTGTACCTTGTGACACCGCCTTGGATTACTGACCTCTGCCTGCCCTGACCCTAAGCCTGCCTGTCTTTCTGTACCTTTTGGACTCTGTTCTGGATTACTGACCTCTGCCTACCCTTGACCTGTCGTTTGCCTGCCCCCCTGTTTTTGTAATAAACTTTTGTTACTTCGAAACTGTCTGCATCTGGGTCTTCTCCTGAGCCATGATAGCACGAACTGGCCATGACGGCCCCAGCAGACTCGGACCAGCTCCGCAACCCCGTCTCCTCCCAAGGAGCCACCATTGGAAGGCACAAGGAGTTGCTTCGTGGTCTAATGGAAGAGTTTCAGACCTTGGCCGAAAGCAATGATCGTGCGTTGAACACATTGCTGGAGCAATTCCGCAGGTTGTCTGTCAGGCAGCCTACCACGATGGTAACCTCCCAGCCCCTCAGTAACCCAACTGTTTGCAGCGCGGCCTCCCTGGCCACCCCGGTTTCCCGAGAACCCAGCTTACCTTCCCCGGAACACTTCACTGGAGAGTCGAAACCTGTCGGGCGTTTCTCGCTCAGTGTTCTCTCATCATCGAGCTGCATCTCTCTTCCTTCCCCTCGGACTGCTCATACATAGCGTACCTCATCACGCTGATGTCCGGGAGGGCTCTCGCCTTGGCTACAGCAGTGTGGGAACAACAGTTGGCCGTATGCTTCAGTCTGGAGGAGTTCATGGTGGAGGTGAAGAAGGTTTTCGATGCTCCATTGTCCAGGAGAGAGGCTGCCCGGAAGTTACTCCAGGTTCGGCAAGACTCCCGCAGCGTGGCAGACTATGCGGTGGATTTCCGCAAGTTGGCAGCTGAGTGTGCCTGGAACCCAGAATCACTATTCGACACATTCCTGCACGGAGTATCGGAGGACGTTAAGGACGAGCTAGCAGGCCGGGAACTACCGATCACGACTCGCTCATCGCCTTGACTATCTGGATCGATGGGCGGCTACGGGAATGTAGGAAGGAGAGGAGGTCTGATTCCACACGCCCGCCCAAGGATTCCACCTCGCCTCCGAGGCATCCCAAAAGTCCCCAACGTCTCCGGTGCCGAGAGAACCTGAGGCTACCTGAGTTCCCCCAAGAGTCTCCGAAGTCTGCCGATTCACCTCTTCCCGAGCTGATGCAACTAGGCAGAGCTAGGCTGTCCCCAGCCGAACGTCTACACAGGCTTCACACAAAGAGTTGGCTGTATTGCGGGACTACTGGTCATTTCGTGTCCTCCTGTCCACTAAAAGACCAGGCTCACCGGTAGGGGCGAGTACTCTGGTGGGCCACACAGATAACTTTTCCTCTCCCTTTACTCGCACCCCTTTCCATGCCATCCTGCTGTGGGGGAACCAGTCGAAATCTCTCAGAGTACTCATCGACTCTGGGGCCGATGAGAGTTTTATGGACGCTACCCTGGCGTCCGAGCTGGGCATCCCCACTCAGCACCTCTCCATTCCCATAGACGTTAGAGCGCTGGACGGGGGCGATATAGGCCTTGTCACCCACATTACCACCCCCATCAACCTACGAGTGTCAAGGAACCACAGTGAGGCTATCCAATTCATGCTAGTCAAGTCTCCTCAGGTTCCCGTGGTATTGGGATTCTCTTGGCTCAAGCGACACAATCCCCTCATTGACTGGACTGCTGGTGCCATCATGGGCTGGAGCCCATTTTGCCATGCCCATTGCCTGAAGTCTGCGCAGCCTGCTCTGGGACGTCTTCCTGGGGGCTCGGAAGTTGCCCCGTACCTCTACGCCATTCCCGCGGAGTACCAGGACCTCTGGGAGGTTTTCAGTAAGGCCCGGGCCACTTCGCTTTCTCCGCACCGACCCTATGACTGCGGGATCGACCTTCTCCCAGGCACCACACCGCCCCGGGGACGACTGTACAGTGCCTTGCAAAAGTATTCATCCCCCTTGGCGTTATTCCTATTTTGTTGCATTACAGCCTGTAATTTAAATGGATTTGGATTTGGATTTCATGTAATGGACATACACAAAATAGTCCAAATTGGTGAAGTGAAATTTTTTAAATATAAAATAAATAACGGAAAAGTGGTGCGTGCATATGTATTCACCCCCTTAGCTATGAAGCCCCTAAATAAGATCTGGTGCAACCAATTACCTTCAGAAGTCACATAATTAGTTCAATAAAGTCCACCTGTGTGCAATCTAAGTGTCACATGATCTCAGTATATATACACCTGTTCTGAAAGGCCCCAGAGTCTGCAACACCACTAAGCAAGGGGTACACCAAGCAAGCGGCACCATGAAGACCAAAAATTGAGCTTTTTGGCCTTCAAGGGAAACATTTAAATGTCTTGGAATGGCCTAGTCAAAACCCAGACCTCAATCCAATTGAGAATCTGTGGTATGACTTAAAGATTGCTGTACACCAGCGGAACCCATCCAACTTGAAGGAGCTGGAGCAGTTTTGCCTTGAAGAATGGGCAAAAATCCCAGTGGCTAGATGTGCCAAGCGTAATTGCTGCAAAAGGTGGCTCTACAAAGTATTGACTTTGGGGGGGGGGGGGGGGGGTGAATAGTTATGCACGCTCAAGTTTTCTGTTTTTTTGTCTTATTTCTTGTTTGTTTCACAATAAAACATCTTCAATGTGGTAGGCATGTTGTGTAAATCAAATGATACAAACCCCCAAAAAATCAATTTTAATTCCAGGTTGTAAGGCAACAAAATAGGAAAAATGCCAAGGAGGGTGAATACTTTCGCAAGCCACTGTAGGACGCCAGGTGGCGCCCCTATAAGTGTAGGGGGGGGGGGGGGGGGTACTGTCACACCCTGATCTGTTTCACCTGTCTTTGTGCTTGTCTCCACCCCCCTCCAGGTGTCGCTCATCTTCCCCATTATCCCCAGGGTATTTTTAGTATTTATAGCTGTGTTCTCTGTTTGTCTGTTGCCAGTTCGTCTTATCTCGTCAAGCCTACCAGCGTTTATCCCGTACTCTTGTTTTTCTCTAGTTCCTGTTTTCTAGTTTTCCCGGTTTTGACCATTCTACCTGCCCTGACCCTGAGCCTGCCTGCCGTTCTGTACCTTGTGACACCGCCTTGGATTACTGACCTCTGCCTGCCCTTGACCTGTCATTTGCCTGCCCCCCTGTTTTTGTAATAAACTTTTGTTACTTCGAAACTGTCTGCATCTGGGTCTTCTCCTGAGCCGTGATAACCTGACAGACCTTGAGTGGCTCTGCAGAGAAGAATTGGAGAACCTCCTCAAATACAGGTGTGCCAAGCTTGTAGCGTCATACCCAAAAAGACTCGAGGCTGTAATCGCTGCCAAAGGTTCTTCAACAAAGTACTGAGTAAAGGGCCTGAATACCTATGTAAATGAGATATTAACGTTTTTTTGTGTTTTTTTTTGTAAAAATGTCTAAAAATCTTTTCATTATTCGTCATTTTGGGGTATTGTGTGTAGACTGATGAGGAGAAAAAACAACAATTTAATCCATTTTAGAATACTGCTGTAATGTAACAAAATGTGGAAAAAGTCAAAGGGTCTGAATACTTTCCGAATGCATTGTACGTACACACACACACACACACACACACACACACACACACACACACACAAATACACATACACACACACAGAGAAAATAGAAGAAAAAAAGAGGACAGAGAGAAAGAAAGAAAGACAGAGAGAAAGGTTCCCAGTGGGTCTGTAGATGACCGCAGTAACAGACAGTGTTACATGTAAAACAGTGCAGAAGTTTTTAGTGGGGCAGAAAAGGAGAAGAAGAACAGGATATGTGACATAACATTTTGAACCATAACAGGAAGCAGACAGTGAGGTCTGTTTTACACTAGCGAAGATAGATACTGTTGGGGTAATCTATTGGCTAAAGCTAAAAACGACATGACTTGAATGGATTCTAAACCTGAATGGAGCTATTATAGGGAAAGACACAGTGGGCGGACAGGGAGACAAACAGGCAGGCTATAGCAGCAGTCAAAAGACACATAGGTTTGAGTATGAAACAAATGCCAGATACAGACAGACAGACAGACAGACAGGCAGACTCCTAGCAATTTGAGAAGATAACATGTAATGTAAGCAGCTTCCACGCCACCCCTCATCGTTCCTCTGTTTCAATTCTCCCCTTCCCACCACTCATCTTTCCCACTATTTCATTTCTCCCATCCCCTCTTCATGACTCATCCTCAGACCCTTGATCACATTAATGAGTGGGCATTACCTCCAGATGACAACAGAGAGGAAGGAGAGAGGGAGGGTTTCCACTAGATAGCACAGCCACAGAGTAAAAATGGGCTGTTTCCTCATTCATGAAAACAAACATTTGCTTTTTGGTCTTAATTTAACGTTAGGGCTAGGCATAAGGTTAGCAGTGCGGTTAAGGGTTAAGGTTAAGGTTAGGTTTAAAATCACAATAAAAAAAAGATAAAGGTAGAAATAGGCGGGGTTTATTACTTTGTGGCTGAGGTAACTAGTGACGACCGAGAGGGAGGGATGGGTCTCTGCTTCCACCTGGTGCATGTGGTCTAACACTGCAGCATAATGCAGACAAGGCAGCACTGTAATGCTCATCTCATTGGTGTATTGGAGGTACCAGAGATATGTTTTAGCTTCCAGAGAGAAAACTTAACACATTAGTCAGTGACTGAGGGAGATGGGTTGTATTTCAGTGGAAGGGTGGATTATATCTATCGACATTCAGAAGGTTGGAGGTTGAACCTGGCCATTCATTCACAGCAGTCTGCAGATGTTTGATCTACACTCTGTACATTGGCACTGAGGGCAGTGTGGGGGTCCAGGGCCTTGGTTGTGCCCTGGGGACGGAGATGGGCAGAGATGGGCCCTGCCTGGAGATCCCCGGAGCACGTCCAGATCAGGAGCCATGAAGGGTACCAGCGGCAGAGCTGAGGTGGGTGGAGGTGGGGTGACTGACGGGTCTTCTTGGTCTAGTGGTGTCGCTCGCCCTGCCTTCCCTAAAATCTGCATCAGCCTGTCCCCAAGGCTCTCAGTTGCAGGTGTCTTCACATGTGCCCGTGCCTGGGTGTGTGTGTGTACATGTATGTGTGGCTGTGTTGGAGCCTGTGTTGGAGCCTGTGTTGGAGCCTGTGTTGGAGCCTGTGTTGGAGCCTGTGTATATCCCTGTGCCTGTGACTGAGCCTGAGTCTGTGCACTCTGCAGGGCAGCGATGGCCTGGCTCTGCTGGCGTATCTCCTGGAGCAGCAGTCTCTGTTCAGACAGAAGGACCTCCACACAGTGCTGCAGACGACTCACCTCCCCACTCCACCTCTAGGGGGAGACAGAGACAGAGAGACAGGCTGTCACCTGCTAACTGAACGCAGCTGGACTAACCACAATTTATAGCTAAACTAAGCTAAAATAAGATACGATTACTTGTCACACTCCTGTAAGTCATCTGATAGAAGTTTCCTAATCTCCTGTATATCAACTACCTAATATGCCTCCACAATGACCCAGTCATAAAATAACTATTTAATGGGTCTTAATATCTGCATACCTGCCTGGCCCACTCCTGGATGGCATTAGCAGACAGCGGTCCCTCCACACTGCCATCCCTCCTGAGGAACACCTCTCCCTGGTCGGTCTGATAAAGGCCCTGCTGGGTGAGGGCTGGAGGGGGGCACAGGGTGAGGCGCAGCACCTGGAAGTGGAGGAATAAAAACTGGGTAAGAGACTGACTGACAAACAGGATCGTGACCAGAGTATCAGACAGGCAGATAGGGAGACAGACAGACAGCACCTTCAGATTCTGGCCCTCGGGCCCCGGTCTGACCACTGGGAGGAAGGCCAGGGTGTAGGAGTGTGGTAACAGGGTAGGGTGGAAGCCCTTTAGGATGGAGTCCACCAGCAGCCGTGCCTGGTCCTCCTGTCTGTGGTCACAGCGTAGCCCCCTCACCTAGGACGGGTGGAAGTGATCCATTTGATGGTTATGTTTTTAATCAGATCAAAACAGCTTTATTACATTCTGAACAGTTTTCATTTGTTTATCAAGCTATTATATTCAATGACATTTTATTAAATCCATTCTTCATGTATTAATTGGTGTCCTACTCACCACCCCGTCATCGTCCACCCCCGCCAGCAGGCTGCCCCCTCCACTGTTCAGGAAGGCACAGGCGTAGCGCCGCAGGTGGGCTCGGAACGACGAGCGCAGGTACTCTCCTGGAGGATGGGGAGGATGGGGTTATTCTCCACTGCTAATGTATTGTTTCGTTTTCTGTATCATGAAACATTGATGGTATATACAGTCAGGTCCAAAATCATTGGCACCCTTGAAAAAGATGAGCAAATTAGACTGTATAAAATAAATAATACAAATACTGAGCTATATTGTATGCATTTTTAAAATTATATTATTTTATACTAATACAATTGTTCAGATAAAGAGATTTTGTTTAACAAGTAATACTTTTTTTTCTAAAAAAGATAGGTGTCAAAATTATTGCCACCCCTAAAGATTACTTAAAATAAAAACATTATTAAATCTGCATTAACATTCTTATTTTTTAAGTAAATCTCAGCTTAAGGAACTGTATTGTGGCCTTCTATGGCTTCCTGTTTCACTGGGGTATAAAAGTTAGTTAACACGCATGTGAAATCCCTTTGTCATCCATCACCATGGTAAAGGCAAAGAACTCACAAATGAAAAGAGACATGGTTGTTGACCTTCATAAATCAGGCAATGGGTACAAAAAATTGCTAAGAAATACCTAAATATACCACTTACCACTATTAGTGCAACAATTAAGAAGTTTAAAACCAATGGAACAGCGGTAAACTTGCCTGGTGTTGGACGCATGTGTATCTTGTCCCACGCACAGTGAGGAAGATGATTCGGGAGGCAAAGAAAAGTCCAAGGACTATAGTTGGAGAATTACAGAACTTTGTCGCATCTTCGGGTCACCAAGTCTCCAAATCTTCAATTAGAAGCCACCTCCATGCCAATAGACTGTTTGGAAGGGTTGTCAGAAAAGACGCCTTTATTGAGAGCAACCAACAATGCCTGGAGTTTGCTAAACAGCATTGGCACTTGGATTGGAACCGGTGCTATGGTCAGATGACATGAAAATGGAGCTCTTTGGCCACGCACACCAGTGGTGGGTTTGGCGTCGAAAGAAGGATGCATATGCAGAAAATAACCTCATACCTACTGTCAAATATGATGTTGGATCTTTGATGTTATGGGGCTATTTTGCTTCCACTGGTCCTGGGGCCCTTGCCTTGTTCAGGTCAACGGCATCATGAAGTTTACCAAGTACCAGGACATTTTAGCCCAAAACCTGGTTGCCTCTGCCAGGAACCTAGGAAGCTGAAACTTGTCCGCAAGTGGATCTTCCAGCAAGACAGTAACACCAAGCACACATCAAAATCCACAAAAAAATGGTTACAGATGTCAGCTCTTAATTTGACCCCTTTCATCACAGGAGGAAAATAATCCTGCAGCAGGAGGATTTGAATATCTGAACAAATATTTACAATTGCCACCTACATTGTACCTTATGTAGGCTATGTGCAGGCTACAGCGCATCTCATGTGAATTCTTATCTGGATTATAATAAATTGACATATGTAGTGGGTAAATGTATTTTTTTTAAATCAATTGTTTTATTATATGTTGAAGGCAAGCAATAGGCAGAATAAATTACTTGTTTTTTCAGTGCCTGTGTGGTCCAGTGGTTACAGCCACTGACCCCGACATGAGTTTGAATCCAGCCCACTGCCCTTTGACTAATGGATGAAAGTCTATTTTTGACACATTAATTCCGTGTGGCTAAAGGGTTAATTCCGCTACAGGGTTAATTCCGTGTGGTTACAGGGTTAAAACAGAAACAACTCAAAGGTTAACAGTTTAGATATTAATTCCAAGTGGTTAAAGTTCAGGCTATGGTTTGGGAAAGGCTTAAAACAAAATAATACAAAACGACACGCCCACGTTCATCAGTATTCATATTATTCTTAGTGCTCACCTCAGCATTGTTAAAACCAGTTAAATGTAACTAAATGTAATCGAAAATGTAATCTAAGTAATCTACAAAAGTAAATATTTATCATGAGAGGGCCATAAACAATAACTAACTAGTAATGCTGCATAAGAATGCTACTCAAAGAAATGTTAAAATATCAGCTTTAGCTTGGCTTACTGTGTTTTTTGTTTGAACTCTATTAACTATTTTAGATGAATGGCTATAAGTCAAACTCTGAATGTGCTACCCTGATGAAACCACTCTGCTCGACAATATAACGATTGCAGGCATGTGTTTTGTTTGTGGCTGTGATGTAGGGTTCAGCCAGGATGGACAGTCAGAAGAGCAAATGAAATGGTAGGGGGGACAGCCCAGCTTCAAGTGGTTTCAGATTTCATATCCTACGTCACACAGGCTCAGAAAAAAACACTCAGTGGAACCAGGGCTATCGCTCAAAGCAAGCCATTTCGATCTATGGTATCCACAGATTGATTTATGTTGAAAATGTTGCTCGGAACCGGTACCAGAACCACGCAGGTCCCCTTGGGTTACTACCGTAGTGCAGTGGTTTAAGCAGCGTGCTCAGGCTCCGAGACTCATGAGTTTGCGCCAGTGCCGGTTTTAGCATGTAAATCTTGGTAGGGCAAACTCAACCAATTTTTTTAGATGCAGGCCAGCAAAGTCACTACACAACACTAAACAATACATGAATTGCACTATAATGGTGACAAACGGTGCCCACAAACTGTTAGGACCTACATAAAGCAGTCCCGACAGCGAAGCTTTCCTTTTAGCACCCTGGAGGGAACCCTTACCACAGCTACACCTGGCTATCAACAAAGCTTCTTCTGGCAGCAAAACAGTTCATTTAGCCTCATTTACTACCTTTTAAAAACCATAGCTGATATGGCTGACTTGCTTCACATTATATAGTATCCCCTCCTTGTAGAGAAAAGCACATGAGCTGATTATAATACACAAAGTAAACAAAACAATGAAATGCATCATTCCAACATTGCCTAAAATTATGAATAAGATACTAATGATATTGACCTATATAAGCAATATAACAATTGAGATGTACAAACTATGGCATACGGGAAAGATGAGCGGATAAGAGGCAAGCCATTAAGACATTAATGAGCGAGCTAAAACAGACGTAATCAATAGGCCTATCCTTATTTGTTCAGCACTTTTTAAATGGACCGCGACAGAATTCAGAACATGGGCCGTTCTTACAGTATTCTCCCTGTACACCAAGTCAGAACCATAGCATAAATAACGGGGGCATATAAACAGGGTAGACACTAAAAGCTCTTACAATATTCAATGATGACATTTCTCTAAAACAGGCTATAGGCTACATGTGCACCACCAAGTCAGAACAGTAGGGTAAATTCTGAGGGGGAGAGGGACCACATTCTTAGGGTGAGACACATGAGCTACTAACAGTTTAGAACATAACATACACACTTAGCTAGTATTACTTTCTTAGCTACAGTGGGGAGAACAAGTATTTGATACACTGCCGATTTTGCAGGTTTTCCTACTTACAAAGCATGTAGAGGTCTGTAATTTTTATCATAGGTACACTTCAACTGTGAGAGACGGAATCTAAAACAAAAATCCAGAAAATTACATTGTATGATTTTTAAGTAATTAATTAGCATTTTATTGCATGACATAAGTATTTGATCACCTACCAACCAGTAAGAATTCCGGCTCTCACAGACCTGTTAGTTTTTCTTTAAGAAGCCCTCCTGTTCTCCACTCATTACCTGTATTAACTGCACCTGTTTGAACTCGTTACCTGTATAAAAGACACCTGTCCACACACTCAATCAAACAGACTCCAACCTCTCCACAATGGCCAAGACCAGAGAGCTGTGTAAGGACATCAGGGATAAAATTGTAGACCTGCACAAGGCTGGGATGGGCTACAGGACAATAGGCAAGCAGCTTGGTGAGAAGGCAACAACTGTTGGCGCAATTATTAGAAAATGTAAGAAGTTCAAGATGACAGTCAATCACCCTCGGTCTGGGGCTCCATGCAAGATCTCACCTCGTGGGGCATCAATGATCATGAGGAAGGTGAGGGATCAGCCCAGAACTACACGGCAGGACCTGGTCAATGACCTGAAGAGAGCTGGGACCACAGTCTCAAAGAAAACCATTAGTAACACACTACGTCGTCATGGATTAAAATCCTGCAGCGCACGCAAGGTCCCCCTGCTCAAGCCAGCGCATGTCCAGGCCCGTCCAGGCCCGTCCAGGCCCGTCTGGATGATCCAGAGGAGGAATGGGAGAAGGTCATGTGGTCTGATGAGACAAAAATAGAGCTTTTTGGTCTAAACTCCACTCGCCGTGTTTGGAGGAAGAAGAAGGATGAGTACAACCCCAAGAACACCATCCCAACCGTGAAGCATGGAGGTGGAAACATCATTCTTTGGGGATGCTTTTCTGCAAAGGGGACTGGACGACTGCACCGTATTGAGGGGAGGATGGATGGGGCCATGTATCGCGAGATCTTGGCCATCAACCTCCTTCCCTCAGTAAGAGCATTGAAGATGGGTCGTGGCTGGGTCTTCCAGCATGACAACGACCCGAAACACACAGCCAGGGCAACTAAGGAGTGGCTCCGTAAGAAACATCTCAAGGTCCTGGAGTGGCCTAGCCAGTCTCCAGACCTGAACCCAATAGAAAATCTTTGGAGGGAGCTGAAAGTCTGTATTGCCCAGCGACAGCCCCGAAACCTGAAGGATCTGGAGAAGGTCTGTATGGAGGAGTGGGCCAAAATCCCTGCTGCAGTGTGTGCAAACCTGGTCAAGACCTACAGGAAACGTATGATCTCTGTAATTGCAAACAAAGGTTTCTGTACCAAATACTGCTTTTCTGATGTATCAAATACTTATGTCATGCAATAAAATGCAAATGAATTACTTAAAAATCATACAATGTGGATTTTTTCTTCTTTTTTTTGATTCCGTCTCTCACAGTTGAAGTGTACCTATGATAAAAATTACAGACCTCTACATGCATTGTAAGTAGGAAAACCTGCAAAATCGGCAGTGTATCAAACACTTGTTCTCCCCACTGTACATATCCTGGGATATTACATCATTTATGCAGCAGCAAACAAGCAGTGGCGTAAAGTACTTAAGTAGAAATACTTGAAAGTACTACTTAAGTCGTTTTTGGGGGTATCTGTGCTGTACTTTACTATTTATATTTTTGACAATGCTTACTTTTACTTCACTACATTCCTAAAGAAAATAATGTACTTTTTACTCCCTACATTTTCCTTGAAAAGTACTTGTTACATTTTAAATGCTTAGCAGGACAGGAAAATGGTACAATACACACACTTATCAAGAGAATACGTGGTCATCCCTACTGCCTCTGATCTGGCTGACTCACTAAACACAAATGCACCGTTTGTAAATTAGGTCTGAGTGTTGGAGTGTGCCCCTGGCTATCCGTAAAAAATGTTTACAAGAAAATGTTGCCCTCTGCTTTGCTTAATATAAAGAATTTGAAATGATTTATACTTTTACTTTTGATCAATCACATTTACTTTTGATATTTAAGTATATTTAGAACCAAATACTTTCAGACTTTTACTCAAGTAGTATTTTACTGGGTATCTTTCACTTTTACTTGAGTAACTTTCATTTAAGGTATCTATACTTTTACTAAAGTATGACAATTTAGTACTTTTTCCACCACTGCAAAAGAGTGATCAAGTTAAGATCCGACATCTGTAATTTACCACAAAATCAACATTTTGCAATGGCTATCTCAGTCTCTGGGATAGCCACTGAAAACCTGTTGTTTGAATTGAAGAGGGCAGTCCATAAGCGCAGACAACGGATATCAAGGATCTGGAAAGATTCTGCATGGAGGAATGGTCTAAGATCCCTCCCAATGGGTTGTCCAATCTCATAAAACATTTTAGAAAAAGGCTCAGTTCCGTTATCTTCATAAGGGGAGGGTGGCAGAGTATTGAAAACAGTTGTGGCAATACTTTTGGCACCTTTCTTTTAGCAATAAATAATCTCTTTCTCTGAGCAATTGTATTAGTATAAAATAATATAATTTCCCAATTTCTTTTGCATACAATATAGCTCAGTATTTGTATTATTTATTTTATGCTATTTTTTTGTTTATCTTTATCAAGGGTGCCAATAATGTTGGACCTGACTGTATATCCTGTGACCTATGACCCTGACCTCCTCCTCTCTTGAACTCTACATTGCGTGTCTCGCTGCCCACGTGAGCCCCGTAGAAGAGCCGCTCCCCACTGGTGATCTCGTGCCTGCTGATGGCACTCTCGGACTGCGTACCTGACAGGCCCAGAGGGTTGACTTCCAGTGAGGTCACACATGGGTCATACGTCTGAAAATATAAAATGTATATCACAATCATCCTCATCATCATGGTTATAGCTATTATCTTGTCTATTGTCATTGTTTTCATCAAAATTATAATTGTCCTTATCATCATCATCATCATCATCGTCATCATCCCCATCACCACCTCCATCATCCAGGGGTCTCTACCTGTGCGTGTTTGCCCAGATTGCCTGTCTTGTTCTGGGTAGGAGGTCTTCCTTTAGGAGCCCTGGTCTGGTTCTGGCTCTGGGTCTGCACCTGCTGGGTAGCTGAAGGTTTGTCCCCATGTCGTCCCCTACCCCTCCTTTGGTTAGTGGCCTCTCTCGGTCTCCTACAGCCCGCTTCAGTCCCTCTCTGTCCCCTACCTCTCCCCTGCTCAAAGCCCCCTATGGCCCCTCTCTGTCCCCCTCCTGTCCTGTGATGACTGTCCTGGTCTGGATCTGGCTCTACATCTATGTCACATCCATCCTCAATATACTCCACGTCATCTATCACTACATCTGGGTCCTCAGAATACGGGCTGACAGTGTCGTAGGTGGGTGTTTGGGAGCAAGTGGAGGTGCTAGCTGCTTGGTCAGCCTCCTGGTCTGCCTCCTCTTCCTCATCCTCCCAGCCCTCATTCCTAACCCCAGCACAGTGTCTGCCTAACTGGGCTAAGCTGCTGGGGACACTGGCGGTGGCGTTGGTCTGACTGGTGGTCTGATTGGTCACTCTGGGCTTAGAGGGCTGTTGATTGGCCATCGCTGGAGCACTGACCCTATCCCAAACTCCGCCTGTGATTTCATCACAGTCCACGTCCTTTCCTCTTGAACTCTGACCTTTAGAACGACGGCGCATCATCGTTGGAAGTGAGGGCGGAGGAGAAAAAGGAGAGGAGGGAAGGAGGAGGGCAAGGTATAACTTGAGGTTTGACCTGTGCAAGTACAAAAGTTTGGCTATAGTATGTCTAAGGGCAAATAAGGCTCCACAAACCAAAAGTAGTGCTTCATATAGGGCGCCATTTTGGAAACAACATAAGTCATAGGCAGTGTAGCCAGTCTCAGAATAACAAGTCGGAGCCAGAGTGTGTGTTAAAAGGATAAATGAACGGGGGTCCTCTATAAATCATCAAGTCATAAACGATCAAAATAACAATCTATCAAACCCATCAGCCATGGCCACGGAGCAGCACTAACACAGAGAACTAATGATGACAGAGCTGATCTCTGTGTTTCACTGTGGTGTGGGTGGAGTTGCCCCTAGACACTGATCTTGGCTCAGTTTTGTATTTTCCACACTAATGGTTAAGGTTAGGATTGGGGGTGGGGAAGCTGATCCTAGAGCTGTACCCAGAGGAAACTTTTCCTCTCCGACCCAGTTTGAGTTTCTACTTTACCTTTCCTGATGTTGCTTGGCTGTAGTGGAAGCCCCCCAGAAGGCCCTGGTGTCTCTGGTTCAACATTCCATTTGATAGTCAGGAGCTTTTCATTCATTGTGACATAATCACTCTACGGTGTGGGTACTGCTCTGACCATAGAAATAGAATGAACAGAATGGGCTTGGAACCTCTAACGCTGGCAAATACACTCGCAATGGCTGCCTGTAGATAAATGAATGT